GGAGGCTTCCTGAGTGCTCATCATAAACAAACCTATTTTTATAACAATGAATTTCACCTGTATACACCTATAGTACTGCTCTACATGTTTAGTTGAATATTGAAACCTTTATTTCAAACATTTTAGGCATTTAGACGTGTTGATGTCAGTATGGTAAATCAGAGTCCTGTTGGTCATAGCTGAAGTGTTTATGTTGACAGGTGATGTTTACCTTGCTAAATGTTAAACAGAAAGACAACTGTGCTAGACAAATTAGTGATTTTTTTTTAACCAGGGGCCAGAGACCCCTATTATATTTTATGTTTTGCAGTTATCTTTGTCTACTAATGGTACAAACAGACTTAAACACTTACTTAAACAGCAGTAAGAGTCCAGAGCCATGCTAGGCTGAAATAGTGAAACACAAAGGCTGTATTTAGGTGCTTTGAGTTAAATGCTAACATTGACAGTGACAATTAAAATGCTGCAATGCTAACATGCTGATGTTTAGGAGGTATAATGGAGATGTTAGTATGGTAACATTTGATAATTACGATTAAAAACAAAGTGCAGCTGAGGCTGATGGGAATGTCATTCGTTTCGCAGGTGTTTGGTAATAAACCAAAGTGTTTTGGTCAGATCAGAGGATCACTAAAGTGATTACAATTCATCCTGAGGGCGACATGAATGTCTGAACCAAATTTCTTGTAATCCGTCCAAAATTTGTTGAGATCAAAGTGGTGGTTTGGCTGACGGACAGCTTGACAGACTGACATTGCCATCCCTGGAGCCATGCCACTACCATGGCTAAAAAGAAATTTTGGGATCACTTCTGTTGAAAAAAAGAAAGATACATTTTGATGATAGAAGTATTGATGAGAAAAGTTTCTGTCCCTCTTTCTTTCTCTCTCTCTCTCTCTCTCTCTCTCTCTCTCTCTCTCTCTCACACACTTATCCTCCTTTCATTTGCACTAAATAAAAACCAGTATCTTTACATGTGCTGCATCATGCTATTGATGCATTTATACCATAAACAAATATAAATGGTAAGGTATATTTTAAGTAGAGGTATTATGAGACTCATATTAACACATTTAGCCAGGGTAAATGTGTGTTTCTCTGTAGGTGTGGACTGAGTAGTCGCCTTATCGGGCAGAGCGTAGCAGCCGTGGGCAGCCGCTGTATGGGTTTTCTGTATTCAGAGGTGACTTGCTCGTCCCTCCTCCACTGCTTTCTACTGTGGTATGCGCTGATGTAGGCCAGCACTGTCTAATTTCTACCAGTCATTTTGTAGGTGTATGTTTGGATTGGAGCCATCCACATGCATCATCCTTAAGTCTTCAAGCATCACGTCAGCCACTGCGGGCCTGGACCTTATTTTACCATCGTGTTCAGTCAGACCAACCGTTCACCTAACAGCAAAGATACTTAACAGTAAACTGTATGTCCTGCTTGCAGTGGTGTGAGGCTCATGTACAGTCATATAGAATTCAGTTTCACTAATTGACTTTTGCTTTTTGTCTCATTAAGTATAGTATTCTGAAAATATGCATCGTTTTACAACAAAAATTGTTGTATTATTAATTTATTTAATAATATTTATCAAAGGACAGTTACTGAGTTTAGTTTTGAATAGAACATAGGCCTACCAGTCAAAATAGTTACAATTTATTCATTTTATTGCTTATGAAAAATAGAACCGGCAAATATATTATAAGACCACAAGAGGCTAACAAAATAATTCCCAAAATAACTTGTTTGTATTCTCTTGTGTGTTAAAATGAGTAATTATTGTTGCATCGGTTGCACTATGGGACAAAAATAGCTACATACATCTAACTAAAAATGCTGAAACATACTGTCGTGTTGTCTGTTTTGATATGGCTGATTAGCTCGGGGAAAGTTACAATAATCCCCCACCCTTCAGCCATGACAGAACATCGTGTGCTAGCTAGACACACTTACCTTGACACGTGCTAACCGTCTTGGAAACAGGTTATTTCCAACATTTCACTTTTAGTTTTATAGAGTGATCAGTTATTTTGTTGCTGTTTTTGAGATGAAACCTCAAGCGTCTCAACAGAGGTAAACTGCATGAATTCCAAAATGACAGACTCGGCACAAATACACGTTGCTGTCGTTGAGTAAACTGGTCGATGACGTGAATTGTGAGTGAACTCCTGCCCTACGAGCATCCTGCCTTTACCTCTCTAAGCACAAGTTCATTGGAGGGTCAGCGCACTCTCATCCTCACTAGGATGTACTCACCGAGAAACAGCACTTCAGTTAGAAATGCATTTTTAATAACAAATAAATGGGAATGTATTAAATGGAGTGCCTTCATATAAAGGATATTACTGCCATACAATTAATGCCCAGAAAAAAAAAATTCACAATGAACTGTGAAATACTTTAAAGATAAAATATAACATAGTTTCAAATGTATTTAATAGATACATGCGGAATGTGAATCTACTGCTAATTAATCATTAATAAAGCTATGAAAACTTTGTAAATAATAAAAGCAGAAAAAATGCATTAAAATAACTTTTAGTTTTGCAGGTACATTTTCAGGAACATTTGAATAATCGCTTATTATTTTGAAAAATCACACTATAGCAGTTTGATAAAAGCATTTACATTATTCAAACAATTACCATGTTCATATGGATGCATTTGACAGGAAGGTTAATTTTTTTTTTTTTAATCAAGTCTCCTGCTGTCATCGCTTTCATGTCACATCTTTGCTTTAGCATGAAATGTCTTTTGTAGTCCTTCCTTTCCCATCGCTGCTCACCACATTTTGCGTGTAAAGAAACACATCTCTGACCTTTTGTGGATCAAACACTCACTGAACATGTGAATTGAATAGTAAAATGTTTACACGGCAGCATAATTGAAGGGATGAGTAACTTAAACTGTGATAATAGGGTTATGGTAACACTGATTATGTTCTCATATGATGCAACGTCGTGATAATCAAGTTAATTATTAGTGAGAATGTGAATGTTCCCCTGCAGGGATGATAAAACCTGAGGGAAATACAGTTTTGAAATTACAAATTGTTGCCTATCAATCAAAAAGTAAGAATCATTTTGTTGAATTCATAAAAGTTAAGCTTATGGACATGAAGTTTCCCAGTAGGGAAGAATATTAGAGCTTTATTATGGTTGTATAAATAAAAATCAAATCCAACCAAAACAAGTTTGATCAGGTCAAAAGATGGTCAAGATACAGTATGAGTCAAACAAGTGATACTGAAAACTTAAATGCATCTTTTCCAGATATAAAAACAATGATTGTGGGGTTTTTTTAAGGTGCTAACAGTCTTCTTCTTCTTCGCTGTCTTTGTTGGTGCATCTCGGCCACCTGATGTTGATCAGTGGAATAGCAGGAAACTAATGGTGGATGTGGATTATGCCACATTTGCACCCTCAGTTGTGTGTATTATACCAACTAAACGGCGACCCACACTAAAAACACCTTACTACTATTGGTTAAAACACCACAGTTTATTTCAGTTAAGGATCAACTGACATGAAGCTCATTTAGCAGAAATGCTGTGCTACATTTACAACATGGAAGTCTATTAAAAGTAGGAATAAATAAGGAAATAACCAATAATGATATTTTTTTTAGCAGTACAGCATGATACTCTTGGTAATATTTACCTATAGTTTAATTTAGATTTTTGTAAATATAAATATGTAGGTAGAACGTGACAGAATGTTGCTGTTAGTACTGATGTGGATTCAGTGTCTTGCCCTGAATCTCTTCAGCAGAGTGGATACTTGTGGTCACCTTCTGTCTATGGTCTCTCCACAACTAAAACGCCCCCATTGCCCAAATATCAATGAATAATTTAACCAGTTGAGCCACTGGTATCAAAAACCTCTTTTGTGGGGGGAAAAAAATCTGGATAAAATGGCAGCAAAAAAGATGCAGCCGAATCCAAACAAGGTCAGATCAGGCAAATATTGAACAATACTAATGAAAAATGTACTTTGAAAAACTTGCCTTTTCCAGACGCATAGTCAGGGACTCTGGGTAATCCACTAATCTCACCATGGAGAGTTTTCATTGAGAACTATTTTCTTCCAAAATCAAAATTGCACAAAAGATGTTGTACATACAGCTTTGTGATTTACTTGAATCCTGTTATTTATTTATTTTATTTATTACCAGTATATGTTGCATCAGTGTTGCATCATATCATGAACAAAGTTAAGACCATTCGTGCAGGGATATGGTCAATCACCTGTACTGTACAACTGGTGATGAGGCTCTCCTCCACCACTTCCACGTCCCTGTGTGCCCATGTCTGACTTCTTTTTTTTTTTTTTTTTTGCAAACGCACCCTGTTTCCCTCTACAGGAGTTTCCCACTACAGCCACAGCTTTCAACCACTAACCACTGGGCAGCTCCACTGGAGTAAACCGGCGTTAAGTGATCTTAGTCATGATGGTTGAGGGAAAAGAGAGTGTTGCATTTATTTTCCCTGCATTGGTTATTCAGGCCGTCCAGGGATTTCAGTGCCTTTGCAGTAAACAGTGTACGTCTCTGACTGTGACGCTGCTGCTGCTTGTTACTGTCTGTTGGGATTTTGGGGACTTTGGGTTTGTGGAAAATGTTTATGTTGACTTAATGAGTGTAATCAGAGATTAATGGTGAACAAATTACATTCTTGCAAAACTGACATTAAAGCTCTTATAGCTTTATAGAGGAGGGCACCGTTCTGACTTTTGGAGGATTCAATACCTACATTTGTACAGCGTCTTTTTCTGTTGCATTATCAACCTTGACTGAAATAAAAGACAGGTGAATTCTTTAGGACACGTCCAGTAAACAAGGAGGAGGTTTGGAGTCATTAAAAGAATTAAAGTACAATATGTAGTCGGAAGTTGTTTTTATTTTCAGCTGTGAATATAGAATATATGTGGACAAGAGAAAAGGGTAAAACAAAGAGGTTTGGTGAGCATTAAAGAATTCCTCCCTCTCTGTGTTTGTCCCTCTCCTCCCAGGGGAAGTTGGTGAAGTACTTCAGCCGCCAGCTGTCCTGTAAGTGCAAAGTGGCCTTAGAGGAGCGCAGTGCTGATCTGGAGGACTTCCCCCGCCTCGGCCACTGGTTCCGCATCGTCAACTTGAGGAAAGAGGTCACACAGGTAAGATTTCAGGCTGCCTAGTTTTTTTTTTTTTTTTTTGTCATCTAAAAATACACCCATGTATTTTCCTTTAGCTATCACAACAAAATGTGATCGCTCAAATTAAAAATCTGGTAACGGGCAAACAAAAACAGACAAATAAATAAAAGTACAAATTAATTAAAAAAGTTTGCCATCCTCCTATCTTTATCATTGTCTTGATGGTTGATGGTGGTTTTAAAAGAAAATCTTTTTTTTTTTTTGTACTTCTTTCTTCAAATACAAATGTTCATAATCTGTCCACAGGCTGCAAGGCGATCAATAGTCATTTTTACTCCTTTTAGTTTCTGTTTTAGTGGTTGGTTGGAGAGTAAATGCTCTATAAAGACGTTATCAATGCTATTGATATGAAAATATGATGTTTTCAGGCATTTTTGCCTTTAATCAAAGTTTTTATTGTGATTGAGATTTTCTTTTGTTGATAACCTCTGTGCATTTGGTATAGGACATAAATGCTATATAATGCATTTTATACAGTTTATGACTTCTTTCCACTTAAAGCATGATCAGTGGATAACATTAATATTCTCACTACCAGCGTTTGCTGCTATTTGAGGGTATAGTATTGAATTTTCGCTGCATCTTTAATTTAAAACCAAGTGTTTTCATGCATTAATATAATTCTAATGATGTATGTATTTCTGTGTGTGTGTCATGTGTTTGCACATGTGTGTGTGTTTTGCAGGAGATGAGCCCAGGTGAGGTGACCCTGGAGGGTCTGCTGGAGATGAGCGAGGAGCAAGTGTGTGAACTGCTGCAGAAGTTTGGTGCCAACGAAGAGGAGTGTGCCCGACTCAACGCCTCCCTCTCCTGCCTCAGAAAGGCCCACCAGCTCGGTAAGGAGTCCACCCAAATAAAAACACAGAGATGAGCTCGCACACACACATGAACAGAACGTGGTTACTCTCCCACAAAATGTCTTTAAGGGAAAATACTGGCGTCAATTTCAAATTAAACAGAGTGGATATGGCATGCCTGCAAAGATCCCCAGTCGGACTCAAACTTGGGATGCAATGAAATGTTTGGCATCTTAAACCTATAGGCCACCGCTATGCAACAATCAGAAAACTATTTAATGTTATAAACAACCAAATTCACATAATCCTTTTCACAACAGGTGTCTGGTTTCCAGACAAGACAACTCATGAAAGTCTTACTTTTGGCAGCTAAATTGCACATCTCAGATTAGTGTCTCCTTGAATGCACTAATAAGGAGTCGCACTCGGTGGTTGCACATGAATCATCACACCTCACTAATGTCACTTTGAGAATAAACCAAGTGAGTCTCAAATCATTTTGTTAGTGTCTGCAATTTGATCTTTATACAAACTGACATACATCAAAAAGTGCTGCCAAGAAGTTTTTTTTTAATGTCTCTCAGTGGTTTGCAATGATATGAAATATTTACAGTTTGTAGTTAATCTGCCAAAAATACAAGATGTGGTTATTTAAAACTCAATAATGTCCGGTAATTATATTTTGCTCAATAAAAATCTTGAGGAGGAAGCTTGTTAACAAGCCACGATATTCAATGTAATGACCAACAATTACCTCATTATCTTGTTTATGGTTCTGTGAGAGCTGTACTGGGGTTGTAGGGGACCTATTAGTTATTATTGTTATTGGTAAGTAGAGTCTAAGTATAGGACAGGGTATGTAGGACAACCTTCACACAGCCAGTGATAAGAAACCATTCAATTAGTTGTTTAAAATCATTATCAACTCCATAAACATGTAAATATTGCACAACATATTATATTAAATAGTATGATGGTGAGATGGAAGTGTATTAGCAATCAGGTGACACTCAGTACTGAGCAGAGGTGACACCCAAGGATGGATTACTGAAAGTGCCCACTGGCTTCAGGACCAAGGGTCTGGGGGCTGCATGGCAGGAGCCTTTTTTATTTAGTGACTATTTATTATTTCTCTCTGGAAAAAGAGTCAAAGACCTTAGTCAAAAGACGAGACGCCCTGATGACACTTTTGCTCTGTCTATACGTGACTTATTATCCAAACTATGTTTTGTTTTTTCCACTTTTCCCTCGTCTTCCCTTTCTCTTACATAATACAACTGGACTGTGCAAACTTAAAGCCACAGAAAGCAAACAACTGAAATTAGTAAAGCAATTAAAATATGTTGGATTATTATTTGTATAATATTTGTGGAGAGGAGTGTCACTGTGTTTGTGCTGTGGCAGGAAGCTTTTCAAAAGAATCAGATGACCTCTCCTGATCTTGAGTCAATACTGAAGTTCATGTGCAGTTTTTAATCAACACCAGCGCTTAACACTGGTGATCCGCACCCACTATGAAGTGATTTGTGCTTGGATTTATTTGCTAGAGGCAGTGCTACAGAAATTTAAAAAAGGACACCATTTCTGGAATATAATCCAGAATCCAGTTTTATAGACTATAAAAACTAGACCTGACACGACAATTCACAGCAGATCTGTAGACCAACTCTGATAAGTGGTGGTATATTTGGATTTTTATGATTATCTGTCAAGTTTCAACTTCCTCCAAGAAATCACTTATCAAAACAGTGTGCAAGTGTCTATACAGCAGGTGGTGCTGTTTCTATCATGTTCAGTTAGAGCAGTTCAGTGAAGTCCCTCTCTGACTTTAGTCTCAACAAAACCATAAATCAAACTGCATCGTCACTTCTATGCCAGAACTCTCATGAAGTGGATAAATAGTTTTTCCACGAATCATCATCACAGCATTCACAGATAGCAACATAAAAGATATGTGGGGTGTTACACAGTGTCTGTGTGTCATGTAGTCATGTGTCACCATCATCATATAAAAACAAATCACTAATGCCTCATGTGAAAACTATGTGTTGCACAGGAAAGTCAGCAAACACCACATCTCTCTCTTGAATAATCTAACCAGCACATGATCTGCACCAGAATACAAATGCTTAACTACACATACTTCCTCCCTTACAAGAAGTTAGTATTATTATGTATTAACATATATAGAATACTTATTATGTTGTATTAACATTAACAGATCATTGTCTTCATATGGACATAAAACAGAATGAGCACAGCATGAGGCCCTATGGCTCCTATTATAAATCTTTCAATGTATGTTCTTTATTCTATTATGCTACACACATGCATTTTTTAGCTGTATATTGCTGCACATTATTAATTTATCATTGAGTCACCTGCCATTGATTGACCAGTTCAATAGATTTTTTCGGAGCTGTCAACATAAAAGTTACTCAGTCGTGGAATTGTCTGAACTTCATGTTGATGTTTTTGATGTCATATTTTAAACTTTTACAGTGTTTTATTTGTTTATAAGTTTTGATATCCATAAGAAGATATATGTGTTGTTTTTAGTCCCAAACGCTATCTCAATGAGGCTCTGAGCCTCTCTTATGATTGACTGACTGTTTTCTGAGTGATCGAATGAAAATATATCAGATTTCAGGTGAAACACTCAGAGAAACCAAATACTGCAAGGCTGGATTGTGGTTTCAGGCGGGCGGGACTTGGGGCATGAGAGCGGTGACTGCTTTGTTGTGACATCACCAAGTTAGAGAAGTCCTGACATCTTGTTTAAATGCTCTGTTTGTGAATACAGGCTGTGTGTATTTCTCTGTGGACTGAGCCACAAGACAACATGGGACCTTTTAAGAGTTGAGATAATTTCACCACAAGGTCTATTTTGTAGATTTTTGTTGGTATTGCTACAAATAATTGAATGATAAAACTGATGTTTGTGTTTTACTTCAATAATTTCTAGACTCAAATGCAGAAAAATATGGAGGCAGGCTGGATGAGTGAAATACACTTACAGTCCAAGCACATTGATAACGGAAAAAAAAAACACGAGAGAAACTAAAGATAACCAGGAACAAAAACAGATAATCCAACGCAAGAAGCAAATCCACAGAGAACATGGGGAAAGAAACACAGTGGAGCTGACAAAGAGTGGGGCAGCAGGTACCGAGACACAGGTGTAGCACAAAGGCAGGAAACACACGAGGGCAGTGAGCAAAACACAAGGAAAGTCATTTCAAAATAAAACAACAGAAAGTGACTAAGAGAGCCGATCATGACGGATTGAGTATACGTTGGATCAGGTGGCATTGATGCCATGCTGAATTCTTATTTTTTTAATCAGATGTAAGTGTAAGCACCAATATTTTTCCTTGTTTTTGTTGCTTGTCGGTTCAACTTCTAGAAGTTGCCCGTTTCACAATGTATAACAGATGTAAACCCAAACCAAGAATGTAATCATCTGGTCTGTTTTGTTTGTTTGTTTTTTATGATGATTTTGACGAACTAAGGGGACTTGCTCAGCTTTATGCTGCTGTTATTCCATGGTTTCACACCAGGTGGCGTTACAGACCATCCTTTGTTTTCAGTCTCTGAGATTTCAGCTTTTGCAATGACACAAAACAATCAGAAGAGGGCAGTAGAGCCTCACTAAAACTGTCGTAAGGTTTAGTAACAACCTTTTGTGAACCCGTTTGATAACATATCTGTTTCTCCTCTACTCCTACACACACACACACACACACACACACACACACACACACACACACCTACACACACTGTTCTGTTCTGTAACAGATGTCCTTTCAGACGCAAGGCTCTGCTGAATAATTAAGCAAATTAACTTGATGAGTAGTTTTTCTTCAATGTGCCCTCAACAAAACAGTGCTTCATGCGTTTTATAAGACGAGGTATAACTTGGCTGTTCTTCAAAGCGTTTTTAATTTTTCTTTCATGTGATGAGAAAGACTTCAGACATTCATACAAACAAGAATGTTTCACAAAAAGCCTCAAAACCAGACTCTTTGTGAGCCTGCAGGTATCCAGGTGTCCTCTCCAAATACTCGCACCTGTCTGTTGGTCCCTGTGCTCATTTGTCAGCCTGTCTGGCTGCGGTTGCCCACCTTACTGTGAGCTTCTTCAACTTTCTGCCTATGTGTCTGTCTCAGTGGTCTGATTGGAGATGGGGGCGGATGTTGTCCACAAAGACAGACAGAAAGGCAGACGGGCAGACGGGCGTCCCTTGGCAGAGTCTGTCAGGCGGTTTTCAGCCACCCGTGCCTCAGTCCAGCTGGATTCGAACCAGTCAGGCTTCAGACGTCTCTGGAGACCAGCTCACTGTGTCTGACTTTGGTTCTTCACTCTGCGTCTCCCTCCGTGCCAAAATATTGATTGTTCAATCTGGACCACATGCATAAGTGTTGCACAATTAGATCTAGAGGGCATGATACAAACATGTAAAATGGAACATGGAAAATGGAACTTTTTCGCCATTACATTGAATTTGTTATTATTATTATTTTATTAGTATGAGCTCATTCTTGACTTTTGTTTTGTGGTACTCCATTACAAAAGCTAGATGGATATGACCAGCCTGCCCACTCATAGTGCGGCCCAGGCTTCTAAACAGAATAAGCCTATTTAGATTGTCTTCTTCCTGAAACCTACAACCTGTTGCCCTCTCACTACTATTTTTATTTATTTATTTATTTTTTTTACACAATGAATTATGCCCTTTAATAGAGATTCCCTTTAAGATAAGAACGAAAAAAAAAACAACAACTCAATGTCCACTGGCTTTTTCTGGAGCTTTCAGCCTCATCTCCCCATATTCAGTGGTTGGAGTTTGCTCAGTTGTCATGGAGATACTGTAGAACTTGGGTCACTTGATGAAAGGTGATTGGATACCAAAAGCAGATGGTAACCCTTGTCTCTGTGGTTGAAAAATGATTGGATGTGAATGTCCGCCTTGATTTTTCTTTAGGGCTGCCACTTATTAAAAAAAAAAAAGAAGTTTAAACACATTAGCTTCATTTAACTGCAACC